AGGAGAGACGCGGGGCTGAGAGAGAGAGAGAGAGAGAGAGAGAGAGAGAGGCAGGTGGAGATCATTGTGTCTTCTTGGATCTGTGCTCATCATCGCAATTGAGGTCTCATTGTCTGGTCCACAACAGGGATATAAACTGCACCAGGAGGCATTTTCCACTGCTTTGAACCTTACCACATAGGTGCCCGTCAGGCTGAATCATGGAGGCCATTGCCAAGTATGATTTCAAAGCAACTGCAGATGATGAGCTGAGTTTTAAACGTGGGGAAGTATTGAAGGTAAGTCATGATTATTTAATGTGTGTTAATATAGATCCACGTGAGCACGTAGTTGGGGCTTTCAACAACTAGTTCTTGTTTATTTCAAGATATTTCTCACTTCTAATATGTTTCACCCCAAAATTAATATTGCGTATTTATGTACTCGCCTTCATGTCGTTCCAAACCTGTATGATTTTTTTCTGGAAACACTGAAACATTTTTCAAAATATCTTTCGTTTTCTGCAGAAGAAATACGGTTTTGGAATGACATGAGAGCAAGTAAATCATGACACCGTTAACATTTTTGGGTGAACTGTCTTTTTAATTTCACGTTATTGTGTTTTGAAATGCGTCTGGAAGATTACTTTAGCGCACATTGACAAACCTTCTTAATTTTTGCTGATCACTGGTCACAATAATGCAGCTTTGTCTTCAAAAACTCGGTTTGCTGAACCTTGTCAACAAATGGTGAGAAATATCATGTTGTCGTTTCATAAAGGAGTTTATAGCGTTCAGCATTTAAGATCGAAAGGCATTTTAGAGCATTTGTAGGTATGAGTGAAGAAATCATGAACAAAAAGCCATTTGTTGATTTCATGGGCAAGTTCCTGTTCATTTCAAGATATTTTTGTCATTATTTCCTCACTTCTAATATCTGTTTTGTGATATCTCTGCAGTTTCTTCCATCCAAACAGCAGCTTCTCAGAATGACTGCTTACGCAAGCACATCATTTCTCTTTCCTCTTGCGTCTGAATGCTAATCTCAAGCACAGCATCTGTTAATCTGGCCAGACCTCACAGCTGTATGTGGCTGTCCAGCTTATGTAACGCTGCGATCTTTCCTTCTCTCCCTAAGGAGAGTTCAAGCAGTCCCTCTTTAAACTGGATTGCAACATATCAGCTGTGCGGAGGAAAGGGCTTGTACTCAAGCGCTCGAAGATTTAAATGCAATCATTCTAATCTCTCAGGTTGAATTTGGGGGCATCTTTCATACATCATGTGTGCATAAGCCTGTCATAAACATGTCAACAGCATCATTCCTTTGATTTGATTAGTGGCCGAGATTATCATCAGATCTTTGTCTTTGCAATGGGACGGCAGAGCCACTAAATGAACCTTGTCCTGAATTAATGTGGAGGAAAACCGGAAAGATTATGGCGTTGGTCTGGTCCTCTATGGGATTTTCCCCCCCTTGACTTCAGATTATAGTGATGGATGGATAATGTGTGCAGAACAGAAGTGTAGTTATGAATAATACAACAAGCAATCATATGTTCTCGTGTGTGTTTTATATTGCAAATGCCTGACTTTATTTAGTCTCTTATGCCTTCACCCAAAAATTAACATTGCGTCTTTGTGTACTCACCCTTATGTCATTCCAAACCTGTATTTTTTCTGTGGAATGCAAAAGAAGATATTTTGAAGAATGTTTCTGTTGTTTTTGTCCATGCAATGAACGTCAATGGGCCCAACATTGTCAGTGTAACTTTAAACACTTTTTCAAAACTTTTTTTTCTCGCAAAAGAACAGGGTTTCTGCAGGTTTTATGAAGAGGTAGGGTTTTATTTGTCGTTTTTAAGACATGTATAGAAATTTAAGGAAAGAACTGAATGGAACACGGTACATTAGTAGATACTAATGTATCTACTAATATTAAATGTCTTGTAATATCAATGCTTTAAAACTTGGAAGAAAAAAAAACTATTTCCAATAGATCTCTATTATTTTTTAATTTATTTGAATTCTGCTCCCAACCTCCAGAATGTGGAAATAACTTATACTGTTCTTCTGCAAAAACTGCAAAAAAAGTCATGTTCTTCTTTGTGTTGGATTTTTAAATCAAGATACATTTACTTGAGAAGCAAAATGACATAAAATGTCTTGTTTACCGAGAAATTGAGTGAAATGAATTGAGTTTGATAAAAACAAGAACAAAAAAAATGCCAATGGGCCCAGAAAACTCAGAAATCTTAATTCGAAGGGAAAACAAGTTTTCATTCCCCGTTGACAGATATTTGTTCCTGCTCTAAGCATAAACTCCATTTTTTCAGTGTTTTAGAAAACAAGACTTCATAGTTCATGTCTTCAATTTTCATCTCAAGTAAATGTATCTTGACTTAAGGAAGTTCAGATATTTGTATAAAGAGAAACTGTCTTCAATTTTGCTGATCATCAGTCACAATGACAACTTTATCTTTAAAAACACAGTTTGCTCAACCTCGTCAACGAGGTGTTCTGGATCTCTCTGACATGTTTTATTGGTGTGTTTATGGGCTAGTTCACACGGTCCCAACAACCATTGCGCTTTGGTGTTTGTTGGAACATTGTGCAGTAAACATCAAGTTACTTTATCATGAGTTTAGGACACTTACTGGCTCCAAATTCAACCACTTCCCACAATTCCTTCTGTCTTCTTTGCAGTCTAATGGAAATGCCCAAAGAGGAGCTTGTTTACATGTTCTTGTCAAGATGTTTAGTGCTGTGTGTTCTTTTTCTATTTGCGCCTCTGATTTTTATGAGGAAGTGATTCTTCAAAGCGTGCAAAAAATGGACCATAAATAAAATATCCAGAAGCGAGATAGGCTATCTTTAATATCCTCTGTCAGCATTATATTTTAAACTAGATTTACATTTTGAGATGAAACGTGAGTGGTGTTAGCCCATGCAGAAGTCACCGCCACAATGCAGCAGGGTTCTTGGTGGTTGAAAAGGTGATGCTTTGCAGTTGCTAAGGTCTTCTGAGTGTGTTTTTTAGTACATCTGCTATGTAGGCTTGCCGCGATAGACGGTGTTGATGGTTATACCGGTGTTAAGCCGCAACACCGGTTACGTCACTTGCCCACCGCGTCACGGACCCCCACCGTCGTTTTGATTTTTTATAGTAATAAAAATTATTTTGTTCAGTAAAAGAACAGACACTACAATTAAAAACTGAACGCGGCTGCTCAATGCAGCGTGCCGAACGACAGTCACATCACAGATCAGATTTCATTTATCCAGTGAGGAGAGTGAGTCGAGCTGACAGACAAGAAGAGTGAGGTGAGGCAAACAAGACTATCGCGGATGATTTAGTTTCGAAATGAAATGCAAAAGCGCCTGGCTATTTAAAAGCGACGGAAAGCGAGGAAAAGAGGGAAAATTCAAACGAACTAAAAACGAACAATTGCTTTACTCCGAATTGCCGCTATTTGAAAGTTAAAGTAAAATGGGCACACCGCTTTTAAAAGCGGAGGAAAAGAGGGAACGCCCCGCCCCCACGGTGATACCGGTATTACCGGTGTTGTCACACGTCGATTAACCGGTGGAAAAATTTCCTCACCGTCACAACCCTACTGCTATGTAGCCTTTTGTGTGGTGATGTCTGTGTTTATGCAAAAGTGGCTCCAACTTCAGTACCTGTTGATGCCACATTGCTGTTCATATCTTTTTTTTTTTCGATTTCGATATTTTTTTCGAACATATCGATATCTTTGTTATCTTTTGAGCTTATCAGCCTCTCATGTAGAAAATATGACATCTAGCATAATATCAACATGTCTGGAAACGGTGGTGTTGTAGAAAAGCCGCAGGTTATCTGTTGGTCTGTAGAGCTAGACCAGGGATGGGCAACTGGCGGCCCGCGGGCCGTATACGGTGTCTATACGCAGTGTCTTTTAGTACGGCCCGCTGGACGCCAGAGTTGCACTTGCCTCAAATTTCAAAGGTAAAATTCATAGTCAACAAAAGCTTTTTGCCAAATGCATGACAGAAATGTTTGCACTGAACTATGTTCTTATTAGGGTTTCCGTGGGTCCTTAAAACGTCTTCAGTTAAATTGTTTACATTTAAGGCCATGCAAACTCTTAAATGGTACAACAAGTCTAAATTATAAGAGGTCTTTGGGGACGGAAAGACAAGAATTGCTATAAAAATTGTTTAAAGGCTGAAATGTGAAGTGCAGATCTTAAAAAGGTCTTTAAAGGTCTTAAATTTGATTTTAAAAATCCTGCAGATACCAGGTTATTTTATGGTACCATTTAGAATAACAATTTTTTAAAATTAAGCCCTTTTTAACTGTCCTTTTAGGTTGCTTTGAGAATGTTCTGTAGGCTACTAATAAAAAAAGGACCTCTGTATATTTGTTTGTTGCAAATTTACAGACAATGCAATTGAAATGTTTACATTGGCTTGTCGGGGTAATATTTCTGTCCACTGACAACAAAGTTTTCCTTCTGAATTAGCATAACTGCACAAGTTTTATACTTAATAAAATCTTTAAAAACAAATGACATTAGTTATACTTTAATTTCCTTCGATAAAAAGGAAATTGAGTAAGGTGTAAAAGGTGTGTGGACGTGGATTAGTAATCTGGCCCCTTGGTATAAAGGAGAAAAAATGCTGGCCCTCGTCACGATCAAAGTTGCCCATCCCTGAGCTAGACTGACCCTTATCACTGTACCCTAATTTTTTTCAAACTGAGGTTTCAGTGGTGAACAAGCTCAAGTCACCTTGTATTGGTCTCTGTTCTGATGCAATAGACAAAAGAGTTTCTTGTGTAGTTGTTTTTATAAAGAAAATAATAAAATATTATTGTATATAATAATATAGTCAAAGTAAATATATATATATAATATTTTTTTTGCTCAAAAATAAGAAATTAAAAATATTTATTGGGTTTGTGTTCAGTTTGGAAAGTTTTTCCTGTTTTTACCTAGTGATGGACATACAAAGAGGCAGGGAATGCTGTGAAATAATGCACCAGAGTGGATTTAAACACTGTCCTCTTGTGTATGAATTTTGGTCCATTAGTCAGGAGGAGTAAGTGCATGTATTCAGACGCATTATGATAGTGCTATCATGCTTTTAACAATGCTTTAAGACACCAAAGATATCAGTATGGTCCTCTCTGGCGTTTAAGGAGCTTAGACTTTGTGACGGTGATCTCACACATTAACACTGAAGTATTTTTGGTTGTAAATCAAGGACTTTTGGGGGGTTTTGCCTGCTGCCACAATAAGAGGAACAGCCCGATTTTTCTT